AGTAAAAGACCATTTTACCCTTCCAAGGCTTGACCCCACCCAATTTGACCTAATGCTCAAAATGACCAATAACACCTTCTAGTCGTACGTCATGCGTGCTCTAGCTCTATGCCATGCGTAGAGTCTTCGCACATAAAATGGGCAAGGTCACACTAAGCGTTGCGTAATCCAAGGTTATGCCATGCGTTACCAAGCAGTTGCCAAAATCCATTTTTAAGTCCTTAATACACTAAGACATTTCACTTATAGCTCGGATCAGGTTCCTAATAGCCCCATAATGGATAAAGTTTCCAACTTTGTCCATTAGGATGGTCCAAACAACCAAGATCTAGTCTTTAAATCTCAAAGGGACCAAAAATGCATCTTTCTTAACTTAATCCATTAAGTCCATGTCTCTAACCTTCAGATCTGAATCAATATGATGTTTAGATGGATAAAGTTTCCAACTTTATCCATAACAAGGTCACAAACTTTCAAGATTCTAAACTTTATGCACTAAAATGACCAAAAAGTGGCAAATATGACAAAATACTAGATCTATGAAACCAATGAGCAAGTTAGAAGCTTTTTATTCACAATGGTCCAAGAATGATGTAATCTTGTTGGATCTATACTTGAACTCTTCTTCTATACACTTTGCCACGACCTTTATCTTCAAGATTCAACCTTCCAATAGATAAATAATCTCATAAATGATGCCAAGGCTCAAAAAACAAGTGAGAGGAGGCTAGAGTTTCTCAAGGAATGACCTTAGGTGATGGAGTCTGGTAATTAGAGGGTTTCCTATAAATTAGAGCCCTTAAATAGCTCTCAAAACCGAAGATTTGGGGTTTTGATCTGCCCAGATTACGCCCTGCGTAATTCATTAAACCCTCGTTACGCCCTGCGTAACTTTAAATTGTGTCATGCGTAATAAAAAATCCCTATTTTCCCCTTTAACTTCAAACAACCATAACTTCTTTGTTTCAACTTTGTTTTCGACGTTCTTTATATGCACGGAAAGGTATTGAATAGCCCTACAATCCTATCTAATTACGTCTGACTTAAAACATACTGAACTAAAATCCTTCTTTCATGAAAGAAGTCTGAAACATCACTTTTCCCATTTTACCCTTTGACTCCAAAAAAACCGAGGGCTTGGATATCATAACTAATATTATCAACATCCGAAATGAGAAACTTTTCGAAACAGGATGTTACATTGTCATTTACTTAAGCTTCAAGACTCGAATCTGTTATCTTAATGATGGGATCTTTTATGTACAATATATATCTTTTGTGTATGAATCTATGATTTTTAGCGATAGCATTCTAGAGTAGTATTTACCCTAGTATATAAAATACACTAGGGTTGCATGTAAGAGTACGTTGCTTTGTGCATTTTCTCTTTGTGATATTTCTTAATCAAAATTGATATTGGATTATTCTTTGTTCTTAATTCTTTATTACTTGATATATCTTGTTATTTTCGATCCTTCATGTTCCTAAAAAATCAGACGATCTTTATGAATTTCCATCATTGTCTTCCATTGTGTCAATGTAAAACTTTTGTCGACTTCACTTCTTCACGTTATGACCATTGTTTCTACATTTAGGATTAGGTTGTAGTTGAACCCATTTAAATGAAATTGGATTGGAATCGGAATAAATGAGAATGAAATTGGATAAATTTGGAATAGAAAAATTGTGTTGTGTAACATCCCAAATTTTATAACCAAATTTTCATTTTTTATTAAATCAAAGGTGAGCATACCATTCAATCATAAAAAGTAACATTCAGTTGTTTTGATAACATAAATAAGAGTAATAAAATCATAAGTGTGGAACATCTCAAAATCATAATAGTAGATGTGATTCAATCACGTTGTGCTCTTCCTTTTGCTGCCAAAAGAACCTAAAAACATTTAAACTTAAAACCGTAAGCATAAAGCTTAGTGAATTCCCCAAAATACCACATACAACACATAAAAATGGGCCCAGTCCTACGAGTATATCTCAACCCATGTGAACGCTATGGTCCACCCATAGTTTTACAATCACTTTTGTTTCTACAGTGCAACTGTAATCTTTCCTGCTATGATCCAACCATAGTCTTTCATACAAGTGCTATGATCCAACCATAGTCTTTCATACAGGTGCTATGATCCAACCATAGTGTTTCATGCAAATTCACAAAGGCATACAAGCATACAGTGACTAGTGTCCTACATAGTATATTCAGAATACTCACCTGAATCCCAGAGCTGAATCCGGATAACCGAAGCCCCAAGAAATCGACTACGTGTACAAAAGAACCTAAAAACATTTAAACTAAAAACCATAAGCAAAAATCTTAGCGACTTCCCCAAAATACCACATAAAACACATAACAATGGGCCCAATCCTAAGGGTATATTACAACCCATGTAAATGTTATGGTACACTCATAATCTTACAATCACTTATGTTGCTACAATCCAACTATAGTCTTTCCTGTTGTGATCCAATCATAGTCTTTCATACATGTGTTATGATCTAACCATAGTCTTTCATACATGTGTTGTGATCTACCCATAGTCTTTCATGCAAATTCACAAAGACATACAAGCATACAGTGACACCTAATGTCCTACATAGTATAGTGAGAATACTCACTTGAATCCTAAAGCTGAATTCGGCTAACCGAAGCCCCCAACGAATCGACTACATGCACTACCTAAACCAATCACAGGCTAAACCTCAATCTATAGCTCAAAACCTCCAACTTTGACCTAAAAGTCAAACTGGTCAAAAAGTCAAAAGTCAACGGTAAAAGGCTAATCACGTCACGATACACTAAATGGAAAAATAGTCAGGAATGCTCCAAAATTACGTTGTGATATTCTATGTGTCGCGTCGTGATTTCCGCTTAGACAACTTAACTCATTAAGCTCTTAATCCTTTACAAAATAAGTTCTAATTCTTAGATTTGGTACTCCTCAGTGACTTAATGGATAAAGTTCCAACTTTATCCATCCCAAGAGCTTAATAACTCTAAAACCCTATGTCCATGAATCCACTTATAATGCCAAAACCTAATGCATGGTCAAAGGACAAGCATGCACAAACATGTTTCCAACGCCAATCATGACCAGAAGTTGATTAATTCGCTCATATGATTATGGAGTTCTCCAAACTCCAAGAACACCATAAAAGGGACCAAGAAGACACAACATAACAACTTAAAACCTAGATATGGCATCAAATAAGCATAAAGATGGAAGCTTTTCATCATACGGAGGTCTAAAAGTTGAATGGATGAATATTAACTCTAGGGGAAACAACTCTCAATCACCAAATAATCCTTCTTCTTCTTTAATCTTCCAAGTAAAGCTTCCAAGGTCACCATAACTTGAAAGAAACGAAGGATGAACAATATGCAGGCTAGGGTTTACTCCACAGAGGCTCTTTGAGGTGATAGGATCTGCAAATGACCTAAAACTTGGAAATAATGCCTTTAAATACGGGAGAAACCCTAAAATCATGGGCTTGGGCTGCATCGGCATTCGCGCTGTGACACCTTATGTGTCGCATTGTGAAATGTCTGGTCCAACAAGGCCTAATCAACATAAGTCCAAATCGCTCCTAGCCCAACACTAACTATTTAATTCTTAAGCCTTATACTTTTAGCCCAAAATTTTTACTCATTTAAGGTCCATACTTCAGCCTTTAAAGCCTCGGACCTTCTTTTCATTAAATTACAGTCCGCCATTCCATCTGGAGTTCATTTAGTGTCTTGTATGATCTGAACCTCCTAGTTGCACTTCAAAATGATCTAAAACTCGCTCCTAACATGCCTCGAACAATTGTTGATTGTCTCATTTGTTATCTTCATATACGTTGATATACACCTTAGCCAACGACACCTCTTATTTTTCAGTCAATTTCTTTGACTTTTAGCGTTTGTAATCCCATGTGGTCTCGGCGATGGGTTTGGGTCGTCCCTTGTTTCTTCGTTTTAGATGTGAGTGTGTTTGTTGCTAGATTCTTCGGATTATAGGTTTTGCGCTTCACAAAATTTCGATGCTCCGGGAGGGGAATGTTGGAATTGAGTTTTCAGAATCAATTGAGAAAACCGGGTATACAAATATAAACGGTATTATCTGACGAAAAACATAATTTGTTATACGATTGTTGCATCTGGAGGTTATATTGTTGTTATAATGTTGGTATTGTGGATGGTTTGGATTTTCAGAACAAATAATCACAAATCTTGATAAGCGGTTGAGTTGCATTGGTTGCGTTTTCGGCTAAAACCGTCCTTTTTGGATTTGCCACGAGAATCCATTTAGAATGGATTCGGATAAAATAAAAATGAAATTGTAGAGAAATTGAATGAAAATATGAAACTAAAGAAATTAAAATTTACCGTTTTTCGAAGATTAAAGAAGAGGGAGATAGAGATATCATCGAGTTCAAACGGGTTATAACTTATGCCATCTTCAATTTGGCGGTAAAAATTTACAGCAGAACCATGTAGCCGATGACACCCACTATTAGCCCGCGAGCAAAATACATCTACTCACCTCTTATGTTTCTCAAACAACATTTATAAAAGAAAAACTTACCTTGTGTACGATCCATTTAATACGTTTTGACTGTTTGGAATAGGAAAACGGAGTGAATGAAACGTTTCACGTAGTCGAGAATAGAAAAAGATATTAAAATCCAGTCATGACTCATGCCATTCTTTATGCAGATAAATAATATTTCCTTTATGTTTCTTCGCATTTGCGTTTCCTAAATCGAAACTTATGTTTCTCTCTCCACCCGATTGGGTAAACCACAGTCAAATTTCACTGTACATCTTCTTCACAGTCTAATCTTGGCCATAGATTCCTCATCTTTACTCTGACTTTCACAAACAACCCAGTAGGGTTTTTCACTTTCCATTTTATTAGGGTTTTTCTCTTTCTTTTTTCTATATAAACCTTCCATCTTCTCCAATTTCTACGTTTGTTCCTTGAAGGGTTTTAGAGCGAGAGAGAAAGAAAGAGAGAGAGAGAGAGAGAGGCAGTGGTTTTGGATTGAGAGAAAGAAGAGCTGGTTTTATGTCGGCAAATTCATTGGTTGTGATTAGGGCTCCATTGAAGCTCTGTATTTCATCTGCTCTGTTCATCTGTTGTTTCTGTTGTTTCACTCACCATAGGTTTCTCTTTTCTCCTTCTACTGTTTCGATGCCTTTGAGGCAAAAAAGGTACGAGGTTTCCTAAAACCCTTTCTCTGATTTCGTTAAATTTTGACTTTTTATTGATTCAATTTTGTGGGTTTTTGTTCATTTGCAGGATTTCTTCTGGAGTAAACGGTTTTGGTCGATTTCACATAAAACGATTCTTCAAATTTTTTGTGTTCTTCGGAGGGCCTGTTACATAGTCATAAGTCACTACCTGAATTTTGTTCAAGTTTCGTTTATTATTATTTTTTATTTTTTTGGGGTATACAAATGGTTGGTTTTTGGAAGAATAAAGCCAAGTTTCAAGAATCAAACAAACCCATGAGAACAATTCGAGTCATTTGTCATGATCCAGATTTAACTGATTCATCTGATGATGATAATCCCAACAAAAAACCCTACGGATCAAAGAAGATTGTCCGGGAAATCAAGATTCCAGTGACCGGCGACGGAAATATCCGTACTGAGAGTTCTTGTCAAGGTAGCAACAATGGAGAAAACAACACTGGGAAAAAGAAGAAGGGTTTGTCTAAAACCCTAAGTAAGCCTTCGTCTCCTCCAACTCCGGCAGCGTCTGTTTCAAAATACAAAGGAGTTCGCCGGAGAAAATGGGGTAAATGGGCTGCGGAAATCCGTGATCCGTTCAAGGGAAGAAGGCTTTGGCTTGGAACTTATAACACTGCTGAAGAAGCTTCCATGGCATATTCAATCAAAAGGCTTGAATTCGATAAAATTGCCGAATCTCTCAAGATTAACAGCAATAACCCTGATCGTGCTCTGGTTTCTCAACCAGAAAAGAATGCCGTTTTTGAAGATTCCGGGAGTTCGATTTCAGCTGTCTGTTGTAATGTCAAACAGACAGATGGTGATGGTGATGATATGAAGAAAATAGAAACAACTAATATTCCTGAAATTGATCAAGAATTTGATCTTGGATTGGAACTTGATGCTGCGTTTCTGGACAAAATTTTACCACCTGGTAATCAATTTGGCGATCTTGATGATTTTGAGCTCATTGGGTTTGATGGTGATGAAGCTAGCGATTTGCCTGATTGGGATTTTGAAGAATTTGATCAGGAAGAACTTGCTTGGATGAACACATTGAAGATCGATGAGCCATTGTTGAATGAGTTTTGCAGTTAGGAATTCGGAATCAAATAACAAGTAATTTTTGTACCTGATGAGGAAGAAAGAAGAGGGGTTTTTGGTGCTATAGCACTATCATATAACACGAGGGTGCGGAAATAGTCTTTTATCAATAAAGTTATGGTTATACTTATTAATCTTTTCTTCTTATTGCTTTTTTAATTTTATTCAATTAACACAACAAAGGCAACAAAAGCATAACCCCCACTCCGATATGAATGAAAAATCAGGTAAGAGAAGACTTTGATAAAAAATCAAAAATAAAAGGTTTACCTTGTCGACTAAGATCACATGTATGTGGAGCATCAGTCCACTACCAAACATATAAAAAATAGATAAATAAATAAATAAAATAAAATGGAAGTGGTAGGAGTGTCTAAATAGTAAAGCTAGAATCTGAATAACCAATTCGAATGTATAAATACTAAAATCAAAGATCTGATCAGTATAAGAAAACCTGTACCGGTTTCGGGTTCGGGAGTGGTTATATCAGGTTTGGAACAGGACGAGTCTAAAATAGAAAACCACATGGTTCACTAATTTTTCTATATACATTTTTCTATGTAAATTCAAAGATTTTTATTGGTAACGTAGGTCCTAAATATTTTTTAAGGTAGGTCCCTAAAAAATTTCTATAGAAAATTTAGATAAATTAAAAAAATTAGGTGGGTCTTAGGACCCACCTTCCTTACACATAGCCTCGCCACTGGTTTGGAACCGACTTTTACAAAAAGTATTTGGTTCATTATTATGGAACAGAAAAATAACCGAAACTGGTTTTGACACGTAAATAACAGAAAAAACGGGACTTTTAGTACAAATAATGTGTAAAGGATGCTTTCATGATTAGTTCAAAAAAAGATCTTTCACAAAAAAAAAAAGATAGTTTTATAAAAAAAAAAAGAAAAAAAAGAAAACAGCTTTGATACCATCTGTTTACGTACATGTAAATCAGTGGAACATACAACCAAATAATACGTGTCTAATGTCTAAGAGCAAGAAAGAAGTGATACAAATTGCTTGCTCACATAAATACATGCTTAAACACATGTCACCCTAAAATGTGTATAATAAAACATGGAACAAACACTAGCTACAATTTGAAAAAGATACTAGCAAATACAAACGAACAATAAGAAAGAACAAATGTAGACTCACCAGTGATGTCCTAATCAACATTTAGTTATTATAGATATTGCACAAACAAAATTGTAACACCCGTTCCGAGAAATGTTCATTTTTAACCCTAAAATATTTCAGATTTACATTTTTGGTCCATATATCGTGCGTACTCGGGGTGTACGCATGGTGTACTCATACATGAGAAGAACGGTCTCACACACGTACGTCGGGTGTACTCAGCAGGTACGCCGCACGTACGCTGTTCAGACAAAAACCCTAGTTTTGAGGGTTTGCACCTTATATAATTTCCTTATGGCCCCAATACCTTCACCCTTATCCTCCTCCACCTGAAAAATCGTCCCTCTAGCTAATCCTCAGTGTGAAGAGTGCATCTTTGAGCTCATTTGTGTGCTTTGGTGGTATTCTTGAAGAAGAAGGTGGTAGAAGGACATTGGAGCTGGGAAGAAGCTTGGATCTGAGATTCTCACCTTGCTAGCAACCTTCTGGAGGTAAAAAGCTCTTAGATTGATCATCTTTTCGTATAGATCTAGATATTCCTTCATTTAGGGCACTTTTGGTCCCAACCTTTGTCATTCTTGAGCATGGCATGCTCTTAATCAAATAAGTCGTCCTTTCAGACCTAATGAAGGGTCTTGAGTCATAAAAATGAGATCTTGATGCTTAGTTCTTCCCCATACATGCTCTAGAATGGTCTTTAGGTGTTAAGAAGTTAAGTTTGTTTATATTAAGCACTTAATGGGCATGTAAAGTCATAAAGTTGGAAACTTTATGACTCTTAGTGGTATTTTGACCTTGGATCTACATTTGGAACGTGAGAGCTTAATACATTAAGCTCTTATTGAGGAAAAGGACTTTGACGCGTACGACGCGCGTAACCCAGCGTACACCGTACGTATGGGATCAACCGTCCGATCCCGATCAAGGCTTGTATACATCCAGCGTAGGAGTTGAGTACGCCCCACATACTCAGCTAAGTTGACTTAGTTGACTCGTTGACCTTGACCTTGACCTTTGACCAGAGTTTTGACCAAGTTGGACCTAGGGGTATTTTCGGTATTTTGAGCTGTTAATTGAGATTAGGTCCTTGGTTTTGGTTACGTGATCGTTGAGTCGATTTTTCGGAACAGAGAATTATTCAGCTTGCACTCCGACTGTGAAGTGAGTTTTCCTCACTGTACTTACGGGTCGAAGGCACCAATGCCGGTCCAACAGTTTATGTATCCTGTTATTGGGTGTTGTTATGCTGTAGTGGTCTGTTAAGATCTGCATGTTTATCTGTTAGTTGGTATATGTTTATCTGTTATGCTTATGTCGATATAGTATGGTTTGGTTGAGGTTGTACTGCTTTGTGCGGTAGCCAACAAACCCGGGAGCAATCCACATAAGAGCTGTGGGCCCCGAGGGCAAGCCAAACTTATGTTGTGGGCTCGGGAGCAATCCAGATATGAGTTGAGGGCCTGATAGACATGCCAGACTCATATTGTGGGATCAGGGGTAATCCGGTCTTTTAGATGTGGACCCAGTATACACTGTTATATGTATGTGTGTGTTGTTACTTTGGGGGAACTCATTAAGCTTTGGCTTACAATTTTTAGCTTATCGTTTCAGGTACTTCTGAGGATCATGGGATGGCAAAGGCGTAATCGTACACAGCTTCCTGTTTTATGTCACTAGGTCTTGGGAAAACTCTGATTTGAAATAATGCTTTTGAAACAATGACTCTCTTTGTAAACAATGTTGATTAATTATTGATTTTTAAAAATTTTAAATTTCGTTGAATTTTGGAGTGTTACAAGTTGGTATCAGAGCCTTGGTTTGAGTGAATTAGATGAACATTCATGTGAATATGGAATCAAACTAGGGATCTGCAAAAGTTTTTAAACTGATTTTCAAAATTGTATTCAAAAGTAACCAAGGAAGGATGCGATGTGTACGATTAGCCGGAGCAAGAAAGTATACCCCAAGGTACCCACACTGTTATTTGATATTATGTTTATGTTAGAACAGCATGCTAGTGGTAGCCTAGGGATATTCAGGAATTGCATGAGAGAATTGTTTGATAATTGATGCGTGATAGCCTAGGATTCTTTCTTTTATGGAATTGACATAATTACTGTAGTTGCTTAGTATATGCATCATAGTTGTACATAACTAAGATTCTATTGCCCGAGAATGTTTGGTTTAGCCTTATTTCATATTCTTGTTTGATGAAGGGATTAGGGTAGAATCAAGTATTCGACTGTCTATAGGATCCAATGTTATGTATGATTAGCATACACGAGTGTTGCAGGGTTGGTGGAAGTTTCATGGATGGGTTGTGTGTAAGCAGTCGACCAGTTGAGCAATGTCTAGCCTTTCTCTAGGAAGTGGGAATAGGATGTATACGTATTGTAGTGGGTGCTGTTAGGGTCGTTGTGACGATCTTCTGAGACAAATACGAGTAGGTGTAGAAGGTAGTACGGGCCTGTACTTCCGGAAGCACAAGACCTGTACGCATAGGAGGGAAGTCACAACCCATAGGGTTTTGTTTTTTAGAATAGCTCATATGGTATGAAATGTGATTTATCTGATATTTTATGGTTGATTTTCTGTATGGTGATCACGAGGGGATCCGGATCAGGAGTTGGAGTGAGTGGCTAGGATAGGCCTTGGTTGACTGAGGATGAGATTAGGGCGTTGATTTCTTCTGAGGTTGTGACTGTTATCCGGGACAGATGATTGAGTACTTTATGACCATTACGCTGCACTTACTGAGGCTGCTGTTGTTGCAGCTACCACGGCCGTTGCGACCATTGGGGTTCATGGAGAGCGAGCCTTCCAGTACCAGGACTTCGACAATATGAAGCCCCCGGTATTCGATGGGGTTTAGGATTTGATCATTGCTATGAGGTGGCTATCCGATGTCGAGAGA